AAAGATTTCAAGGCAGGCCCCCCACTTGCAACAGTTTGTAAAGCAAAATGTTTTTGGAGTTCTATACTTCCAACGAGCCAATGTGGGTGCCTCCATACCATTACCATACATTCAAGTCACATTCAAACCATACATAATAAATGACTCTTCTCAATGTCATTAAGTCAAACACATTGCCCACACAATTTGTTTCGCATAAAAGTATATAGTGACTGCACTTACAATACGAGGCCGGAAGCGGTTATAGACGAGACGAGAGGCTGGAAGCACATACGTTCAGGGATCACTGACGAGTAGATTTATAGTGGTTATAAACTCCTTACTTAGGGACTCGATTCGAGAGCAGAAAGCGCAGAGCAGAGAGGGAGATTGAGAAGCCGTTACAAACTCCTGACGAGCAGATTTATAGCAGATTCAGGGACGACTAACGAGCATATTTATGGAGGTTATAAACTCCTTAGTTAGGCTGCCCAGCAAATTCGATACTGAGAGGCGAGAGCGCGCAGCAGAGGGAGATTGAGAAGCCAGAAGCCGGGAAAGAGTGAATTTGGGAATTTCGCGGTTTCAATTTCAACACCAACAGTAATTCGTTTTGGGCTGGGCAAATCTTTTATTCAGTTTTTCTCTTTGGGCTAGATAAGTGAAGAGCCCAGTTTTCGATTTTACCAAAGAAAATGAAAGTGTTGGGCTGGGATGTATTTGATTTTACTTGGGTTGAATAAAATTGGGATGTATTTGGTTTTACTTGGGTTGAATAAAATTTAAATTAAAACTGATTTATTTATTATTTTTTCTAGCGGTTTGGCGGTTTGAAACGGTTTGCAAAAATTCAAACCTAAACCAAACCACTTCAAAGCGGTTTGGTTCTGTTCAAAACCAAAGTGTTGACGGATCCACGTGGATCCAAACCAACGGTTTCAAAAAAAAGGTTTCGGTTCGGTTTGGCGGTTTCGTTGTTCAGCCCTAGAGGAAATGGCTATTCATTTAACTACGAAATAAGTGACCACCGGCCAGTCACCCATTCTCTCAGCCACGTAAGATTGTCAATTTGTTTTGCTCGCAGTTAAAATTGACCAAACTGAAAAATATGCATAAATTAAGCAATCAAGATGATATAAATTGAAGTTAGAGGACCGATTTAAAATACATCTGTAAGTTGGGTAACATCTCTAATGAAATTTTTCTGAAGACAGGACAACAAATAATCTGTAAGTCAGACACGCGCGAGAAAAGTGAGAGTGGGCACTGGAAAAAGATTGATAAATACGAGGTAGAGTTGTAAGAAACTAAAGAAGAAAGGAAGGAAATGGGTAACCTTTTTCCCCGTACTTTTGGATTGGACTTTTGTGGAAAGATATTCCTTTTATTACCATTATTCCATTTTCCTTTTCTGACCCCAAAGTATATACTTCCTATGCCTCAACTCTCAATCATTCCACCTCTTCATTTCCCAAATTACCCTCTTCTCTCCCCCTTTGTCGCTTTCCTCTCAACTTCGAGAATAGACTCGGAAATGATAGAAAATTAGTGATCAAATGGTCGAAGTTCAATGAAGATAATAAAAAGAACAACCCATAATAACAAATGTTTCTGCTTTTCATTTTTGTAGTGGATTTAGGGATGCAGCATCTTCTAAACCCAAAAGAAAAATAATAATAATAAATAAATTTTCAACCTTTTCTATAAGTTGGACTCGCATGGGAGAGTGGTGGTCAAAAACGACGGCTGTCAACGGAAAAAAAAAATCATTTTTTTGCCCAAAATTTGGCTCCAGACGAGGGCTTAGAGCCTATTTGGAAGGATTTTTTACCTTCAAAAAATTGATTTTTTAACCGTTGTTTCACTATTCCAACCGTAATTTTTGACTTCTTCTCTCACAGGTGGACCCCACTTTTCTTCTAACGATCAAAAAATCAATTATCAAAATCCCTCCCAAACGAGACCTTAGTATAATTCAATTTGACACATTGAACACTATTAAAAATAGAAAAATGTTAATCCTGTTTGGTAAAGATTTTAATCTAAATTTTTATTAAAATTAAAGTTAATAATTAATTTTAGTTACATATTTTATGTGCTCAATAATTTTTCAACCACAAATTTTATTAACTTTTATTAAAATCTGTTAAATACATTATGAAAACATTAATCAATATTTAAGAATTGTATGCTACTTTTTGTAACAAGGTTGGTATTTATGATGGAAGGTCGAGTAGTTCAAACAAGACACTTGATCTATTTATCTAAAAATGAGCGGTTTGCGATTATATTCTAGGACATATTAAGAATAAAATCAATTATGAGAACAATATTCAAAACAAAGATTGAATATTCCTCTTAGTAAATTATCATTTTAATAGAAGTTACATATGAGATACTAGTTTTATCACACGCCGAAAAGTATTTTAAATATGTAAAAGAACAACTCAATATAAGTATACATTGCCCTTTCTAATGTCTATTATTCAACCTCGGTTTGAGCTCCATTTGTTGGAATAATTTTTTCAAAAAGTAATTTTTATAAAGAATGTGTGGTTAAAAGAAAAATAAATTTTTAAATTTATAGTTTATATGGTAAAAATCAGAGTTCAAAATGGTCAAATTTCAAACCGTTGGAGGGGGTCCAATCGACCACCTTTCACGGTCAGTTGACCACCCCAGCAGCGCAGTCTTTTTATGTTTTGGCCCCATTTGTTCTGATTTGAAAGTTTTAAGGTGTATGAACTTTTGAAAAATACTTTTAACCAATTTTTTATGATAAAAATGTTTTTTAAAGTCCAAATATCATTTTTAAAAGTCATTTTTATATTTGATCAAAATGTTGTATTCCAATGATTTTTAGTGCACAAAATTTTTTTTAAAGCATAGAAAGATTTTGAGATTAACTATTTATTGCCAAATATCAAAGTGTTAGTATCTTTAAATTTTGCCTAAGAAATCAAATCTTTACTCCGAAGTTTGCCTCTTAGACTTCTCATCTTAATTTTTCTTTGATGTCGTCTCTCATACTCTTGATCTTTTAAGTTTTCGTCTTGAATGATTTGACTTGAATGTTTAGCTTTCACTTTGATCTTCATTTTAAGCCCGATAATACTTGATTGATATTAACATTGAACTATCATTACTCAAAAAAATATGTTAGAAATAAAATTAATCCTTTTTGTTATGATCAAAATATTGAGAATGAAATCAATCATATGTCAATAGTAGAAACCACCCATGATAGTAAGACCGTTAAAAACTTTAAATTGCAGATGTTGGTCATTAGGTTTGAGAAATTTAGGATGAACAATGAGGAAATTTTTGATGAGTTCTATGAAAAATGATATAGTGAACTCTAGTTTTAACCTAGGTGAGCGAATCATTGAGGTTAAAATTGTAAGGAAAGTTATGATACCCCTACTGAAAGATTTACACTTACGGTTATAGATACTGAGGAAAGCAAAGACCTAGGTTCTATTGAGATAGAAAAACTTGGAGAATCTCTCCAAACATACGAACTTGGCCTACCCATGTCTAAGAAAAAGAAGTCTTTAGGCCTAAACACTATTCAGGAAGAAATCGGAAATCAAGCTGATGACAATATCCTAAAGGATAAGGAGTTTGCCTACCTTGTTAGGAAATTTAGAAAATTCTTTAAAGGTAATTTTCGTAAAACAAGAATGATAAAAGAGAAAAGAGAAACTTAAGGTTCATTTTGTTTACTGTTTTCGAGTCGTTTTCAGTTTTCAATTTTATAAAATACTGAAAATGTATTTAATTTATTATTTTTAAAAATGTATTTTCGAAAATAATAATAAATTTATAAGATTAAACTCAAAACACATTTCTGACGTTTTGAATATTTTTAGTGAAAATCCTAAAAACATTCAAAACAAGGAAAACAAATGTTTAAATAACATTTTAAAAATAAAAAAAAATTAAAAGATAAAAATAAAAAAATTCTAACAAACAAAATTTTTAAAATTATAAAAAGGTAAAATTCAAAAAATAAAAATACTAAAAAAACCAAATTTAAAATTAAAATTCTAAAAAAGTAAATATTAGAAAATAAAAATTATAAAAAAATGAAAAAAAAAATAGTTGTAACTCTTAATAATTGTTTATATAAAACAATTTATAAAATATTAAGATGAGCACAAACAAAATTTTTTAAGTCCACGTCCTTGTTTTTATTTCCTATATTTTGAAAATTAATTAATTATTTATTATTTTATCTTTTTAATGAGAAAATATATTATAATATTCATCAACTTTAAAATGTAAATAACACTTGATAATATATTAACGTAAAATTGTTCTTTTTTTAACTAAATAATCAAAATTTATAGAATAAAATGTAATAAAACAAATTTTCAACATTTCAAATCAAATGTGTTTTCTAAATTTTTTTTCTTTAAAATTAATTTTTCAAAATGGCAAACCAAATACGTTTTTAAAAATCTTAAAACAGAAAATTAACTCAAAATTCAAAACTGAAAATCGAAATACAAATCAAATTGGCCCTTAAATTTCAAAAGAAAAAATTGAATTAAAGCTTCAAACATGGTTTACATTGTCATCCTATCTAATTAAGATACGCTAAACATATTTGAACAAATAAAATACATTAAAATTGAGCTCGACATCACTGGATTAAGAAGACGGAAAAGAGATGAGAGTTATGAAATCTTTTCAAGGCATTAGACTTCAAAATCCTCAAATTCTTCATCTACTCCCACCTCGTAAACTAAGACATAACATTGTGTGTAGATGTTATTGTCTTTCCCAAAAAGCTTCAATATATCCACTATATTGAATGTCTTTTTAAGTATTGGTGTTTAATTTATGTTAAATATCATGCTTAGGTAGTGTTTCGCGCGGGTAGTCGCTAACAATTAAAAAGGGATCAGACGATTGTGTAATGGACAAACCTCTTGAGACAAAATCCCAAAAAGGGGTGTTTTATTGACAATGACTTTACAATTGAAACTTAAACAGAAATGCCTCCAAAGGGCGCAAGCACACGAGTACTGAAAAGAAATGTTTTAAGTCTAAACTGAAAAATTGAAATTACATATTCTCTGTTTGAGAGTGTTTGATTCGAAATCCTTTGCTCTATGTCTTTTCTTCCTTTTATATTCCTTTGATGCTCTCTTTGTGATCAACCGCTTAAAAACTGCTTAATTGCTTTATAATTGCCCACTTTCTCCATGGTGGCCAACTTATCGTGAAACTGCCGTCTCTAACTGCTGCCATTACTTTTTATCGTTCAACCGTCCTCAACTGAACATCTTGAATCGCGAAACGTGATAAAATTACCCAATAACTGCTTCGATAACTGTACTTTTGGATAACCATAATATCTTATGTTTGCTAAGATCTTGGGCGATTCGAAAGTTTGAGCGAGAACAGGGTCATAACTCTGGGCGACTGCAAGGCACTTCATTCGCTCAGATCTTGGGCGTCTTGTAAGTTTGGACGATGGTGTTACCGCGTTCGTGGGCTTCCACTGCATTCATTAATAACCCTATTTAAACATTTATCCTGAATTGCCTAGTTGGGCTTCATTCTTTGAGCTATTTGAATTGGGCTGCATTTTTTGCATGTCAACAAGTAGCACACTATAATATGTAATGTAATTAGTTTTAGAATCAACCGTTATCTTTTACCATCTATTGTAGTGTGCCATGTCATACATTGCTTAGCACAAGCTAAGCACTGATACTTAAGAAATCATAACTATCCATTATATTTAGCTTTTGTTTGGTAAAAATTAAAATTAAAATTTTAATCCAAATCAAAGTTAGCAATTAGTTTTAATTACATATTTTATGGAACCCACCATTTTAACTACACATTTCACCAATTTTTATCAAAATCTGCTAAAATTTGATTTTAATCCCCGTAAAACTGGAGCTTAGTGTATGCTTAAGACCTAAAATCCGTCTTCCAAACAGTCCTGACAATTACCCTTAACTTAAACAATTTCGGGAAAAAAAAAAGTCCGATTCCAAGATTTAACAATTTCGCATCTGTCAAAATTTTGCACCAAAAGTTAGGGCAAAATTAGTCGTTGTGCACAAAAATCTGTTCTTCAACGAATTCTCCCTGGCCAAAATATTTGTCCCAAATTTTGCCTCGAAATTGTCCAATGTGCACATATCTTTTCCCCTCAATTTCATGAAAGTTTGAACTCAACTCTTCCACTTCTCTTTGCAGTATCAATTTCTTCTCGATTTCTTTTTAATTTCATCAATATATATCACATTCAAGAATTTACTTCTACAAAATTGAGCCTAAATCAATAATTATCAACACCAAAACGCTCGATTTACTAACATAAAGCCTTCATTGATGAGTCAAGATAAGAATAAGAATTACACTTATCAGCGGTGTCGGAGATGGGTCTGTCCCACCTTGATCTATTATCATTCCTGCCTTTTTTAAATAGCTATTACTAGTTGAATTTCAACTAACTTTGATTTATCAAATGAAAAATACTGTAAGTACACGTGTAGTGTTTCATAGGAGCCTTATAGGGCACCTCACTGTTTGGAGACGGGCTTCACATCTATTTTTAAAAGAAAAATTGTGGGATTCGCTCCCACTTATTTTTTGCCGGGCAGGGTCCCAGAGCTCAGCTCTTGTAGCCCCATCATGACGGAGTTTCATTTTCACCCAAAAAAAAAGAGGAATAAAAAGTTGAGATTGGGTGGGAAAGACATGGCCACACGTGTATCATGAATTCATAATAAAAATTGAAAGTGACTCACGAGTCATGACAACCCGCTCTCACCGCCCGCCGGATCAAAGCAACCCGCTTAAAGTCACTTTCACACTATTTCTTAGACCCGACCCGCATAGCCATCAGATCCGCAGCACTACCCCAGTGTCCACCTTCCCGATTAAACGCTCCAATGGCTATCGTTACTCACAAAATTTCACCATTGTCTGCAAAATGCAAGTACCTTTCTCTCTCTAACTCTCTCTTACTTCCTCACACACTCACACACTAGTTGCCGTATGATCCAATATATACATATAAGCACACTTATTTTTTTGTCACAAGTCGCGGCATTTTGTAGAATAATTGAGAATTACGTACAACATAATTCCGTAGAATTAATTTACTCATCATTTTTAGCTCTTAATTTTTGCTGTTGATAGTGTATTTTATTACTTGAGGTTTGTTTTCCCCGTTCTTCGGTTAACAGTAGGATGCGCGCTTGTAGATTTTTGTTTATATTATTATTCTTCTTTGTTTTTCAGGTTTTGCTGTTTTCTTTCCCTTCTTCTTCTTCTTACTCGATTTTTTTTTTGATACAATGTGATCCATTTTTGTTAAGATGCATTTTGTGCTTTGCATGTTAAAAGATTAACAGATTTTTATATGTGCTTAATATTCACAATAAAACTGTTAGTAAATTGTAAATGTAAATCTTCTTGGACATTCTTTCTAAAAGTGTAATCCATTTAAAGTAATGTGAATCCGTATGAAATTACATGTGTACTTCTCAAAAGCCTTACCTTATCCATAGGGGAAAAAAAAGTTGTCATATTCAGGCTGCCATCATTACCCCTATCAAAATCATCTACTATTGCTATATTAGTTCTGGGACATAGCCTTGATTTCGAGATTCACTTCTTTTTCATGTTATCTGACCCTAATTATGTCTTATTTTACTAAAAGGGGCTGAAATTCACGTTTTTTGTCTAATTTTGATTTTCTCTATCGTAAACCATCCTTTACTCTTGTAGAATGTAGCTGGTCTAGACTAGTGACTTTTTGTTTCGGTGCGAGAAAATTTTGTGCATGTGATCTATGGCTGAAGTCTTTTCAGTTTTGACAAAGTTTGTGGCTTCTAAATCTGTTTGAGTTGGAAGATTCTAAGAAACATAATGGATAACAAGTCATGGCTTTGGAAGAAAAAATCTGCAGAAAAGAGCTTAGTAGGTGACAAGGCAAACATTTCTTCGAGCATAAACGAAGAGGTGTTAACTCAGGTTCAATTGCTTATCCTATCCTTATCCATTTTATTTGATGCTACAGGTTTAGAATTTGGCGTACAATTATTTTTGAAGTAATTGTCCTCTATGCCACAATATGTTTAGTGTACTTGCATATTCCCCTATCCCTCGTAAACTTATCGACAAGAGGTCAATCTGGATTTGGCTACCTGTCGAGTTGTCTAATGTGGCTACACAAATATCTATCTCAACCAATTTGTTGAGCAAATTTTTTGGGCCTTGAATTGAGGGGCAGGAGTAATATAACTGTATGGAGATATCTCCTATTGCTTTCCAGAGTATGTAGTATTACGAGCATACCTAAATGTCAACCAATTTGTTGAGCAAATTATTTGGCCCTTGAATTGAGGGGCAGGTGTAATAAAACAGTATGAAGATATCTCTTTCTGTTACTTTCCACAGTATGTAGTATTACAAGCATTCCTAAATGTTGTACAAATTGATATACGTGCAACTATACTGAAACTATTAGCAAGTAATAGCCACCACTTGATATCAGTGAATTACATTTGTCTCCATGTAGTTTTCTTTTAAAAATCGTGTCTCGTTTTATCATTGGTAACGTAGTACAGGAACCACTAATATATTTTTCCCACAGGCACACCCACTCCTGACTGAGAAAGCTGAACTGGAAAGAGATATTAGAATATTAAATGGCAAGCTTTCTTCTGCCCTTGCCGAGCGTAATGGCAAGGATGATTTTGCCAAGAAGCACGTGAAAATTGCTCGGGAAGCTATTGCAGGTGAATACTGTCCAACAATATTTTAATTATCTTCTTTCTCCCCAGTGTTTTGCGCTGCGCATAGCTTTTACATAGAGAATTTCTTGAATTTTTGTCTGACTGTTGGGCATTTGAAATCTCCTTGATAAATTATAAATATAGGCTGGGAGANAGAGTACAATCACATTTTTTGATAAAGACATGTATTGTATGATATTATATTTGTATTACATGTCCTATATTTGCTATATAATTTTTCCAGCATTGGTAAATAAATTACTAAACTAACATATTAGTGACTTTTTTTAATTTTATTTTGTATGCCAGAAACATAACAAATGAATAAATCATCGTCAAAAAACTAACAAAAACAAGGTTTGATTCATCAATAGATCAACAAAATGAGTAAGGTTGTCAGTTTAATTTGGAAAGTATTAACTTTTTTCATTTTGTTAATTGTTAATGATATTATTGTTGGCATGTCTTGAACTTATTTTTATATATGTAAGATTAATGTCACCAAACAAAGATTGTAATTATATCTTTATAAAACAAATTAATGCATTTAAAGAGTGGATTATAAAAGTATCCATACTTCAAAAATGTTCCATTGAGATTTAAAGCAATAAGAACGATCCTATTGAAGTTTTAAATCTAATTTTGTATGATGGGGAAGTATTATATAATGTCAGAATTAGTCAATAGTTTTTTTAATAGAAGTTTCACTATTAGACCAATAGGTTATTTTTTATAATATTTTCATGGAAGTAATTTTCAAACTATATTGTTTAATAACACAATTGAAAAGTTCTTTTCCATGCTAGAGAAAGGAAAAACATACCGACTTCAAAATGAAAAAATAAAAGGAATCAACCTTTATTCAACATTTTCATATTATATACATATTTCATAAAAACTTTTACACACACACACACATAACTTTAATTTTTTATTTAACAATTTAAATTATCTCAACTACTTTAAAAAACAGTATTAGTACTTCAAAAATATTATGCATAACATTCATTCGATACATATATTGTGCAATATACGTGCTTACAACTAGTTACAAGAAAAGGCCGAATAAAACAAACGGTCTGTGCAAACACGTGGCAGGAATAGCTAAGGACTTCACTATAAACAAAACTTGTTGACCTTGATTTTTGCAATCCAACTTGCTCAATAGATCCCAAAACCTCCCAAATTCAGGCAAAAATATTCCTGCACACTAGAATAAATCATTAAGTACACGTGGCCTTCTCTGATAGTGGTGGAATTAGCTATGCACACTCTGACGGTCAAGTCAGATGATGATATAAGTGCAGGAGGTATTTTAGACGCGAGCCCTCTTCGTAAAAAGAAGAGGATCTGCTTTGGGAAAAATATCAAAGAGATAGCAAAATTGTATCTTAAGAGTGTAGATTTACATACCTTTGAAAATGACATAATGTGTAAACTTATATAGTAGAAGACGGTGAATAATCACCGTTGGATGAAAACAGAGATGGCCTTGAGGGTGAGCAGGTGGTGCAACCACACAAGACCTCAGCATTATAGGGGCACAAAAAATTATAAGGAACTTGGGACATAGTAGACGAAAGCCTATAAATGACTAACCAAGAGGGGGTGGATTGGTTTTTAAAACCTTTTCGAAAATTAATTCTAGATATAAAACAATATGATAATAAATATGTCAATTAAACAAATAGGCACAAATAAGAAAGTAAATAAAGACTAAATTGATAAATTCAAATAATAAGCGCAAGTACAAAAGCGATAAGTAAAATTGAGAGATAATGTAAACGATATAATTGTAGAGGTTCGATCCAAAGCAATTATCTGCATCCTTCGTTACCAAGCTCTTCGACATGAGCAAGGCTTTTTCACTATGTTGATTGACTTATGGTGCAATTCAACCCTTTACAACGCTTCCGTTGACTTACAAACAACGATCATCGATCCTTTACAAAGTTGAGCTTTACAAGACCTACATGGCCTATACTATTAAGCTTTACGGAATCTCAATATAACATACACGATGACTTACAATAAAAAGCACCAATCCTTACATAATGTTGAGCTTTCGAGGACCTCAACACAACCCACAATTCAATTAAGAATAAATATTACAAAAGAAATCTTATCTCGCATTAAAGATATATTCAAAGTTGAGTAAAGAAAGAGAAAAGTAAGCTAACACTTTGATGAATAGCAATGAATAAAGCTCAATTGTTAGGTTTGAAAAAATTTGATAAATGGAATGATTTTCAAAAGTAAATTTAATCAATAAAATTGATTTAATGAGAAGATGAAGAAGAATTAAATGCAATGTAAATTCAAATAATCTTTTCAAGAAATGTCTCTCTTTTAATGAATGATTATAATAAATCAAGTAATGATAGAGAAATGAGAAACTTAGATGAATATAATGTTTTTACAAGTTTAGTTCAATCGATAAAGTTTTTCAATGAGAAGTTAAGATGAAGTAAAACTTGCATGTAAGTTCAAAAAGATCTTCTCAAGAAATATTTCTCTTTAATGAATGAGTGTAATAAATTAAGCACTAAAAGAGAAATAGGGAACTTTGATGAATATGATAATTTAACAAATTTGATTCAATCAATCAAAGTTTTTAATATGAAAAAATTGAAAAGTTTATGCAATATAAGTGCAAAGATCTTCTTCAAAAATATATTTCTCTTTTAAAATTAATATAAATAAGTTAAGAATAAAGAGAGATAAAAACTTTGATAAGAGAAATTGATTCAAGAAATTTGATTTAATAATCAAAGTTTTCAATATGAAGAAATAGAAAGATGTATGTAATGTAAGTGCAAATACCTTCTTCAAGAATATGTTTCTTTTTTAAAATTGATATAAATAAGTTAATCACAAAGAAAAATGAAAAACTTTGATGAAAGAAATGATTCAAGAAATTTGATTCAACAATCAAATTTTTTGCTATGGAAAAATAAATGAAGTGAAAATAAAAATTAAATTCATAGAAGATTTTTTTTTTT